TGCTCTGACTCCTGAGACACCCTGCAGCCATCTCTTGCAAAAGGTCAGCTTTGCTTCCTTTTCTTGTCAGTTCTGAACTGCCTGTTACAGGTCCATCACCCCTCCCCACCCCAGCCCTCAGTCAGGGCCCCATCTGCCTTGACCTTCAGCTCCGACACACAGCACTGTGTGGGCGGGATACACAACAGGCGCCGATTTGAATCAGCACTTTTTGTAAAACCTCGACACACGCAGGACGTCCACCGCCAGGCCCTGCCTCCTCTCAGTCACGACGTCAGTCCTTTCTGGACATTTGCGTACAGGATATTGCTTTAGTTTTCACGGAAAGGGGGCGATGGCCTGTACTGCCCAGCAGCGTGCCTCTGCCACCTGAGTCTGCAGAGCGGACAGCGCGCCTGATCCGCGTGCTCCCTTCCCACGCTGCACAGTGTCCTGTGCCACCTCCCGGACGTGGGTGACCGTCCTGCTGCTCAGGCCCTCTTAAGTAGCCTTACTGACCAAAGGCTTTACATCTGTGCGCTTCCAGTCAATTCTGCCCAATTTTCCTCCAGAAAGGCTGCATGTAGGAATTCACCTCCTGCCGTCCACACGTGGTCACTGTCGAAGTCTCAGTCCATCACCTCCTGCCGGAGGCCTAGTGCCGGCCTCCAGGCTGCTCCCAGTCTGTTCTCCACACAGCCTACAAGAACCAGTTTTTCTTTTTTTTAAAAAAACTAAGTTAATCACATCACTTCCCTCCTTAAACCTTTTAGTAGCTTCCCAGGACCTTTGAGATGAAGTCTGGTCACTTACATGTCCCCTAAGACCCTGCTGTCATCTGCTTCTTGCCTGTTTCCTTTTCCAACCCAACCCCGTGACCTTGGTCTCCTCCTCACTCACTTTCTCTGCTGCAGTCTCCAAACTGGGCCACGGGGATCCCTGAAAATCAGTGACAGTGTAGTCATGAGAAGTTTTAAGGGACCCAGTCTTCTGGTGCTGAACTTTCCTGAAGCTGACCTGCTGTGAGCCTCCTTGGAGACCAGACCCCCTTGCATTTGGCCCCGCCCACTGGGCCCACCCCAAATCTTACCATATTGTACTGCAGCGGGGTGGAAAGGTGTAACAACCTTGAAGACTCGGAAAGATAATTAGACAATTTATTTAAAATAAGACACCATTAAGACAGGCATTTCATGTAAAACTTTACCTTTATTTACAGTAGTTACACATCAGATTTCGTGACATATGTTGATTAAATTATACTGCTAACAGTAGTAATAGCCCAATCCAGCAGAATTTCAACTCTTAGAACCTTGATGAAAGTCTGATCAAGGAAAGACTTTGAAGCTAAAAAGATATTCCATTAAGACCAATTCTGCGAATGAAAATGTTTTCAAAAAGAAAAAGGACCAATGTAAAATTCTAATTGGTAAAAATCTTGAGTATTTTTAAATGGCTGATTGTGGGTATTACATCACTATGGTATTTAGAACCCATGGGGTCCATGTAAAAGATTTCTGTCACCATTTTCTTTTAAAAATGTCATTTACAACTCATCAGAACTTACTTCTTTTAATTTTAGATACTGACTTAAAAGTGTGTGCAGGAAGTACACAGCCTTCTTTTCGGGGGCATCTGAATGAAAAATAAAACTGTGCGGCCCAGTGCAGTGCTCCCCAGGGGCTTCTCAACACCTCAAGCCCTTCAGGTAGGCTGTCCTCACCTGACCCTCCCCGCTCCCTCTCCCCTCCAGCCTTGCTCACACCACCCTTAAAGCTGCATCTCAAGTGTCACTCTTTGTCCCCAAAGCCAATGAGATCTCCTTAGTATGTTCCACTGCACCACGACTCCTTCTCATAAGTGCCCACAAGGAACTCCTTGCGGAGTGTAAGCACCGGGAAAGCCCAGATGGAGTCCGCCTTCCGTTACATCCGAGCGCCAGTGCATGCAGGCTGGTTAGTTGTGCTCCTTAAATGACCGCTGTGTAGAGGGGCGGGACAGGAAGTCAGCGTGCAAAGGTTAAAGCTGTGCATGGTAAGGAGGTGGAGGCAGAGGGTGTGCAGCTTCAGAGCGGGTAGAGACAGGAAGGGAGGGTGACTGCGGAGGAGCCCAGGGGATAACTGAGTAGGCAGGGACCTGTCTGCATATAACAGGATGAGAGACTTCAGTTCTCTGTCTCCCTACCAAGACAACGCACAAAAGTTCACAACCCGCTCTGCATGTTTAGGGCCTGCAACACCCTGATTGCTCCTATCTGATTCTTCTTGACAAAAAAAGTTAACAACGCAGGCAAATACGGGGGCGAGTCACCGGAAGTCACACACATGCACGGACCTCATCCACACAGAGTGCACCGTGAACGCTGAGCCTGCTTTACCTCTCCATACGCCTTTCCCAGTGCAGGGCTGTCTGGCCTCGACTAGAGCAGCATGAGCACTCTGGCTGCGCGTCACCCACACCCGGGACTTCCCCCTCCAAAGAAACCTGGTTCTCACCAACAGTGCATTACTCCCCTGACGGACATCGCTCTACTGTGTGATGCTTCTGTTGGCACCATCATTGTGCAAACGCTTGTTCCTGGAGAGATCTCCGGCACCTGGCTCTGTCCTCTAAGATCACCACCTGTCAATCCTGTTACACTCAGTATAGAGAGTCAAGGAATGTTGCCACCATCCTGGCCCTGATCAGAATTTTCCACTGAAATGCCTTCTTGCGTAAAGCTATCCTATAAGCTTCCATTAAGAAAAAAATGTTTTCACTTAAAGCCCTTGCCATTCTTTTTTTTCTTTATATTTTATTTTCTTTATTGATTTTAGAGAGAGGGAGAGGGGGAGAGAGAGATAGAAACATTGATGGGAGAGAACATTGATTGGCTGCCTCCTGCATGCCCCACACTGGGGATCAGGCTCACAACCTGGGCATGTGCCCTGATGGGGAATTGGACCAGCGACCTCTTGGTGCATGGGTAAATGCTCAACCACTAAGCCACACCAGATGGGCTGGCATTCTTTTAAAATGTGACTTTCTCACCCTGGCTTGTGATGCTCAATGGTTAGAGCGTCATCCCTTTGACTGAAGGGTCTTGGGTTCAATTCCTGGTCAAGGGCATGTATTTTGGTTGCATACTTCAACCTCCAGCCACGGTCAAGAGTGCATGTGGGAGGCAACCAATCAATGTGTCCCTCTCACTTCGATGTTTCTCTCTCTTCCTCCCTCCCACTCTCTCTAAAATCAATGGAAAAATATCCTCAGGTGAAGATTTAAAAAAGTGCAATTATCTCTGGACAGGGTTACATATTAAACCACATTTCCTGTGGTCCAAGGACAGGAGAAGTAGTCAAAGCCCCTGGATCTGTTTTCACATCAATAAAACAGCAGCCCAGCTCTGGCAGGTGTTGTTCAGTGGCTAGAGTGTCCCCCGAGCACCCAAGGGTCTCGGGTTTGATTCCTGGCCAAGGGCACATACTTGGGTTGCAGGTTTGATCCCCAGCCCTGGTCGGGTGCATGCGGGAGGCAACCAATCAAAGTGTCTCACACAGATGCTTCTTCTTTTCTCTCTCTCTCTTCCCCTACCCACCTTCCACTGTCTCTAAAAATAAATGAAAAAACAAAACAAAACTTGGTGAGGATTAACAACAAGAATAGCAGCTCTGCCAACTGAGGTTTTTGTGAAGGGCACAGAAGTTATCTGAGCACCTTATGTACTCCATGTGCACACGCAAAGCACTTTGCTACACAAAAACTAAGGCTCCTTATAAGAAAATCAGAAAAGTCCAAGAGCCAGGTACTTGGGAAGTGGAGCAAGGTGCATGGGAAAAGGGCTGACCACCAGGGTGGGAAAAGGCTGTCCCGCCTGTGTAAGCCTGTCACAATCATCGCTGCTGCGGTGGAAGAAGGGCCTAATTCTGCACCACCCTAGTGGCCAGACGGTGACTGGCCGCCGTCTGAGGGCGGCGGGCGGCCGGTCGGGGCGGAAGGAGCCGGGCGAAGACGGCGCGCGGAGCCGGGAGGATGCTGCTGTCACCGGTGCTCCACAGGCACTCCATGCGCACCTGCCAGGGAGAGAGGACAGAACCAGGAGGGAGAGGGTGGGAGCCACCTTGAAAAGGAAGTAACCTAGCAGCTAGGCCTGCCTGGCAGACGACCCGGGGCGCGAGATTTGATAGCGCTTGTCTCGCCCTATGGGAACTCCTGTGAGTCTATGCGGTCCTTCCCGCAGGGAGCCTGACAAATACTGTGAATGCCCGAGTCCCCTCCTAACTGGGGACGGCTCGTCTGCGGAACAGTAGAGGTACAGCGCGCACCTGTGCACTCCGATCAGGGGGCGTCTCGGTTTCGTGCGCATCACCGGCCCACAGAGCATGCAAGCTGGAGGTAAGCGTTCCTTCAAGCCAACCCGTGCCCAGGCTCCGACCGAGGGCACTGCCAGGCCCCTCCTCTGGCCCGCACCCACCTTCACCTCGCTCAGCAAACCGGCCGCCACTTGCGGTTCGCGGCTGCAGCCAGACCCAGCTTTGGAGCATGCGCAGAGGCCAGAGCCGGCGGTCCCCGAGCCCCCACGGCTGTTGCGCTTCAACCGTTAGCCGCACTCGACCAATCAAGAGTCGTGTTGTTGCCGAGGAGCCCCGCCCCCGACGGGGGGACCATGGAAACGGGCAGCCAATCAGGAGTCTTGTTGTTGCGCGGAGCCCCGCCCCCGGCAGGGGCACAGGGTGACGGGATAGGGTCATGGGGTGTGAGCGCTCCTGAGCAAGCCAGCCCGGAGGGCCGCGGCGTCCCCTTGCCCCGCGGCCGCGAGCAGCACGCCCGGCCCCGCACTCGCCCGTCCGCCAGCCCGCTCCCCCTCGGCGGCGGCGCGGCCCATGCGGCTGGGGGCGGTGGCCCGAGCGGGCGCGGGCTGGGCGTCTCAGGTGCGGCCGGCGGCCCGCGGAGGTGAGGGGGCGGTGGCGGGGCCGGGCCCGGCGCGGTGATTGGCCGCCGTCCGAGGGCAGCGGGCGCCGGCCGGGGCGGGAGGAGCCGGGCGCAGTCGGCGCGCCGAGCCGGGAGGATGCTGCTGTCACTGGTGCTCCACATGTACTCCATGCGCTCCGTGCTGCCGGCCGCCGTGCTGCTGGGCACGGCCCCCACCTACGTGCTGGTCTGGGGGGCCTGGCGGCTGCTGTCCGCCCTCCTGCCCGCGCGCTTCTACCAGGCGGTGGACGACCGGCTCTACTGCATGTACCAGAGCATGGTGCTCTTCTTCTTCGAGCACTACACCGGGGTGCAGGTGAGGCTGCGCGCCCCGCCGCACCTGCCGCCCTCGCCTGGGCCCGGGGCGCGGGCGCCGCCGGCAACGGGAGGGTCGTTAGTCCCGCCCCGCAGAGCCGCCCCGGGACGTGTGCTGCTCGCGCGTCCTCCCCGCGGGGCAGCGGCGGGCTCACTCCGGGTCCGGCCCCGCGCTGCCTTGCAGGGACCGCGGCACCTCTGGGAGGCGGCGGCAGCCGAGCGCTGAGCCGCACGTGGGGCCCCCCCGAGCGCCCCTCTGCCCCTCGGGGAGCCCGGCGTCCGCGTGCTTGGCGAAGTGGGTGCTGCTGCTGGAAGTAGGGCGAGCAGTTGACAGTTTTTGGCGTTTGGTGAAAGAAGGTGGTGCTGGTGAAACTCAAAAGTGCGCTTTCACAAATCCGAGACCTTCTGAAACAGATCGTCACTGTTTGGACAAGAAGCCCAACTTTGTTCCGCTCCTTCCCCAGTCTAAGTGAGGGCCGGGCGAGGAAATGGATACATTTGTTACTGAAGAAGCCCTGCCTTAGATAAAATTGTTGCCAACTTTGACTAGGCTGAAATGTGTGGCTAATCTGTTTTTTTTTTTTTTTTGGTCTGATTACTTTGTTCCTTTTTCTATAGAGATTGGATTTGTAGATTCAATTGTAAAACAAAAGTAGAAGGGCCTCCTCACTTTATTTAGTTCTTTGACGTGTCATACAAAAACAACAATTGGGAATTTTTCTTTTATCTCCCAATTTGAAAAAAAAAAAGAGCTTCATTCTTGGTTATTTAGTTACTCCTCTTTTGGTTTGGTGGCGGAAGGGAATAGGATGGCATTGTTTTGTCTTTTTGACATTGCTCCCCCCCCCCTTTTTTTTTTCATCAGAGCAGTTGTGTTCACCCTAGTGTCAGTCACTCAGCTACTATTTTGACTTATAGAGCTGCTGTTGATTTCCTGATGACTTGAGTTTGCCCCAGTTGGAGGTTGTTTTTTGGGCGGAGAGAATTAGAAGAGACCAGGGTCTCCATTTAAACCAGTATCACTGTTTACTAGGAGAGAAAGATAGCTCTTCCAGAAACTGATTTCCTGATAGTTGGCTTTTAAAGTGGGCCTCATTTAAAATTTTCACTGATGTAGACCTATCACCCCCCCCCCCCACCGCCCTGTGCTCTTCACATTCATCCAAATGTATAGTTTTATCGTGATTAAGTGTTTAATTTCACATCATATGACAGCTAGCCTGGACTCAGAATGTATTATAAAGTCAGTTACCTCTTAGAAAAATAATTCTACCTGTGCTGGGTTATTTTATTTTTGTTCAAAGAATGTAACAATTCCATGCACTATAATGTACAAGGTACCATTGAAGTACTTTGTGTTATGTAAGTTTTTCATTTTAAAAAATAATTGTAAAATTTCACAATGTTTCTGAAATTGTGTATCTTACCCCATGTCCTGTTCATTATAGACCTCCAGTTTTATTTTTGAGTTCTCAGCACATGGTGTGTGTGTGTGTGTGTGTGTGTGTGTTTAATTTAAAAGTTTGAATTATATTTGAAGGCCATCAGATATCCTTTTATAAATGTGGGTCCCTTGATGGAGTTTTTAATAATCCTAGAACTCATTGCCCACTGATCACTAAATACAGGTTATGAACATTTAATAAAAATGTAGGTCCAAGGGTTTCTTGTCCATGCATTATTCTTTGGCAAGGAGGTATTTGCTGGTTAGTAACAGAACAGGGTATTTTTGCGGGAAGAAGGGGGTCCTTTTTCTGGAATTTGAGGTTCCTAGGTAGACAATGCTATTTTCTAATATTTCTAATGGTTTTCTTTAAGATTAAGTCAATAGAGGAAAAAAATAGCTGTTTTTAAAGATGAACCCAAAGGAAAAGGATTTATAAGAATGGATATTCTGTCACCTTATTTTTACTTAACAGTTTTCATCAGTGACTTTGTCATTGCAAAGTTTCTATTAAAATTTAAACTTGTGTCTTGACCGGTGTGGCTCAGTTGGTTGGGCATTGTCCCTTGCACTGAAAGATTGCTGGTTCGATTCCTGGTCAGGGCACATGCTCAGGATGCAGGCTTGATCTCCAGTGGGTGGTATGTAGGAGGCAGCCAATCCATGTTTCACTCTCACATCAGTGGTTCTCTCTCTCTCTCTCTCTCTCTCTCTCTCTCTCTCTCTCTCTCTCCCCCTCTCTCTCCCTCTCTCCCCCTTTCCCTTCCTCTATCTCTAAAATCAATAAAAAGTCTTTTATTTATTTATTTATTTTTAATTAGCTTGTTTTTCTTGTTTTGCTAAGGGACCTCTTTTTGTTTTGTTTTGTTTTTTAACTTGAATTGTTCATCAGCTTTCATTTGTAAGGCCCGTGATGATTCTTTTTGTTCCATATAAAAGAATCATTAAATTATATACATTACAGAAGTTTTTTCAAATTAGATTATTTTTGAAATGACATTTTAATGCTTTTAAATTCTAAGTTTAAAAACTATGCTTCATAATAGTTGTGAGACAGTATTTTCTTATGCATGAAATTCTTAAGCTGAAGACAACAAGTAGGTTCATGAAGTTCATGATCTGTGCTTGGCAGGTAAACCTTCTTCCAACAAGTATACTTAGATATTCCACTGGATTCTAGGTAAACATTCTGTTCTTCTCAAACATTCTTTCCTAATTCACTACTTTATTTTCATATGCATGCACCTTTGAGACAGGAAAACATTTCAACCACTATTACTAAAATCACTGTTTATAACCTACTCTTCAGGTTTTCCTAGAATCTCATTAGTGCTGAAACCAGCTGCATACCTTCTTCACTGTTTATTCCTTTGGGATTTTAAACGTTTATCTCTATGTTAATCTGAGATCCACTGACAGAACACCTTTTCACTGTTTGAGGGAGCACTGATTTGAGTAAGCAATTGTATGAAGTTCCTGTGGCTGCCATAATAAAGCACGTCAAATTTAGTAGCTTAAAACAATAGAAATGTGTCCTTTTCCAGTTCTGAGGCCAGATGTTGGGAACCAAGGTGTTTGTTGGCCTGCACTCCCGCTGGAGGCTCTAGAGGTCAGTCCTGGCCTCGTCTCTTCCAGCTCCTAGTGGCCGCTGGCCTTCCCTGGCTTGTGGCCACGTCGCTGCACTCTGCCTCTGTGGCCACCTGTCCCCTCTGTCTGTCTCAGCTCTTCCTCTCTTTTGTAAGGACACTTGTCGTGGGGTATAGGACCCACCCAGACACTCTGGGGTGATCTCCCCAACTCAGAATCTTGACAATATGCACAGACTTGTTTTCCAAATAAGGTCACTGTCACAGGTTCTGCACTTAGTCTGGGGACACGGCTTTTTGAGTCATCATTGAAACCACCACCAGAAAAACTCCTGAGTTCTGCTTAGTCAGTGTTTTGTTGTTTCTTCGTTTAACTTTGCCCCATGTCTTTGGGTATTTTGAAGCATTCTGCTCTCTACCTTCTTTAACATGCTAAATAAAGTAAAGGGAGCCTGGGTCTATATGCCAAAGTTACTTTTAAAATAATTTCCCATAAGTTTTACTGTCCAATTTTCATATATATCTTCACATATTCCTAAAATAGAGCATTTGAATAATCTTATTTTCAGAACCACTCTTTATTCTGTATAATAATAACCAATTTATTATTCATGGGTTCTTTGAATTCTTAATTGATTTTTACATTACCATCTTGTGATAGCTCACCCCCCCAAATAAATAAATCAAAAACAAATTGAAAACCTGATAAATTGGAGGTAATATAACTTCTAAACTAGACTTTATTGTATACAACATGGGGAATACATTGGCATTTGGTTATGTTCGCCACTGTAAAACCCAGATGAGGTACGGGGATGTGTGATGTTGGGGACCCCGAAAGAAAAGGGGCCACATGGCTGTCCTGGAGCTGGAGGATAGCGAGGACTTGTGGACGTGAGGAAGGAGCCGGAGTGCTGGGGGAGGAAGTGGCCGGGGCTCCGGCAGGAGCAGTGGCAACTTGATTAGTGTAACCTGGAGCTGAGGTGAACCGGACCCAAGGGTGTCTGTTCTGCATTTCTACCCTAATGCTGAGACCATGGTATGAATGGTACTCGGAGGAGTCCAGCTAGCTAATGACAAATCTTTTTAACATGTTTGAGCTGATAAAAGTTCATGTAAGTTTTTCTTAAATGTCAGAATTCTTTAAAAAAATTTTTGCCCTTTCCCCTTCTTCCAATAGCATACACTAAAAACTGATCATTGAGCCCTGGTCTGTGGGTTCAGTGGTTAGAGCGATGGCCCAGGGACCGAAGGGTCCTGGGTTTTATTCTCTGTCAAGGGCATATACCTGGGTTGCAGGTTCAGTCCCCAGTCCTGGCTGGGGTCCTGTGGGAGGCAACCAGTCGATATGTCTCTCACAGTGATGTCTCTCTGTCTTTCTGTCCTTTCCCTCCCTTCCACTCTCTCTAAAAATAAATGGAAAAATATCCTCAGGTGAGGATTAACAAAACGAAACAAACAAAAACCCCCTGATCATTGATATTTGCAAGCCAAAAATATCTAGTGATGTGATAGATGTCTTCTCATCAACACCTAATACAGATTTTTTTAAATTTTAAGAAATCCTTTTTTAAAAAATTGATTTCTTAGAGAAAGAGGTAGGGAGATAGAGAGGTAGAACATCGATGTGAGAGACACATTGATCTGCCTCCTGCATGCCCCCCACTGAGGATCGAGCCTGCAACCCAGGCACGTGCTCTGACCCACACCAGCTAGGCCCCAATACAGATTTTAGTTACCATTTTTTTGCTTGAATTTGTTTGAATTTGCTTTAAAATATATTTTACTCTGATGGCTTTGCTTGCCAATTCTCTCTTCTCCAAATGCTAACATATACATTATAAGAGTAAAATGTGAAATTTGATATAAAATAAATGACATTTTCTACGGACCTACTTTGAGTGTAAAGTAGCAGAAGGGAGTTCTATGTACAGAATTTATTTTCCCTTTCATAAACTTGTCTAATTTTGT